TTATCTTCCAGGTGTTGCCTGTGTTTGATTTCTGAGTCTCCTGTAAGATCATACCTCTTCAGTGTGTTTGGGATGGGAAGTTGTTGCCTGTTTGGCTGATCACCTGGTTCTTTTTCATTGTGCTTATAGTGTTTTCTGTAACCCTTAGTCAACACAGTATTGGTATACTAGGAAGAACAGCTGGTTAGAATAATTATGCCACTGTTGGCTATATTGGTACCAATGAGGATGAAATAAAACACAGCCTACAAAATGACAAACTGAAGTAACCATTAATTTGCCACATTTAACTGTATGTGCCACATTTGTGGCTATATAAGAAAATCTAAAACCAGAAAAATATGTGCAGTGTATAGGTCTTTAATATGTCAGTTTTTCTCTTAGGGGGTTAAAATTTAAAATGGGTTAGGGAGAAAAGAGATGTGGATGAAGAGGAAGCGATTAAGAGTAACGCCACAAGACAAGGAGGGATCATCATAATTTTGGTAAACTGCAGCAGAAGACTGGAGAGAAAAGTGCTAAAGAGAAGAATAGAAGAGAACCACGAAGAGCCTAGACACCACATGCACAGGGGAAAAATGAAACAGCAAAAAGAACAAAAACGAGGCTGGGGTGATGGCTCAATAGAATAAGCTCTTCCCTGGCAAGTGAAAGGGTCTGAGTTCAATCCCCCGTTCCACCAAAACAAAAAACAAGAAACAGTAAAATACCAACAAGAGAGAAAAAAAGATATCCTCTTCCAGTTTTATCTCTACTGTCACTGGTAAACAACGTGTGGAGACAAGGTCCTTCCATGTTGATTACCCCTAGCACCTACCTTTTTGAGGACATAGTCAATAATCTCAGTGAGCCTGTACCCTCTGGTTCCCTGCAGCTGTCAGCTCATCATCTTCTAGCCTGAACCCAGCTGGGAGCTACTCTTGAGTTCTGAGATAAGCAGGCCCCTCTTCAAGGCTCTTTCATGTGGGGTGACTGAGACGTCAGCACTCATTGCCAGCTTGTGTAGTCCTTTCTGTGTCTCCATGGGGCCTTCGGTGTCTCCAGCACTCAGCATGTGTCTGTAGGTCTGAATTGCTTCTCTCAGTGTTTCCCATCTTAGGGAGAAGACACCTTTGGGGACCTTCTTTCTTTTTCATTGAACTTTCTTCATTCTCCGTGGGCTTCAGTTCTTGCCTCACTTGCTTCCTAAGTCCAGAAACCTTATTTCCCTCCTGGTCTTCCGTATTTTATATTCCAGCATCTGAAAGGCAGCACTAGGAGAGATTCTTTCTCTCCTGCATACAGCTTCACCTTTGGAATTTTACCCCATTTTCTTTTGTCCAGCTCAGCCTACCGAGGGTGGCGCCGGCGTGCATGTGCCAGGGAATCGGAACTGTGCTCCCCTGCACCTGTCTGAGCTTGCCTAAGCAGGCTCTTTAGACTGCTGAGCTATCTTGCTGGCCTCCCATTTTCTTGATGAGTATAAAAATTATATTTTGTTGTATGTTACTTTGGTGTTTTTATTTTATATTTAAGTTTTTGACTTTTAAAAAAAGATTTATGGTGGTGGCACTCTGGACTGAACCCTGGCTTTTTAAAAATTTTGAGAGAAGATTTCCCTGAGTTTCATAGGTTGTGTGGTCTTCTTCCTTTAGCCCCCTAAAGTGCTGGGATTGCAGTGTGTGTCACCATATACACATTGACATTTTTTTATTATTGTTGTTGTTGTGGTACCAGGGATCAAACTCAGGACCTTGCACTTGCAAGGCTATCTCCTGACCCCATTGACTTTTTTTTTTTTTTTTTTTTTTTTTTTGGCAGCAGCAGGGATTGAACTCGGGACCTTACGCTTGCCAGGCAGGCACTTAGGCCACTGAGCCATCTTCTTGGCCTCCATTGACATTTTAAAGATGACAGATTATTGTATATACAATGACAGTCTAAGACAAAGCATAGGAAGTATTTAAAATTAGTATATTTGATGTGTTAGTTTTATTTTTAAGGCAGTCGCTTGATTTCCTATTTGGAGCATTCTTATGTAACTGACAGTGATGGGGGCAATGGGCAAGGTAGGGTTTTACTAAGTTCTTTAAGCTGCCTGTCCTTGAACTTGCTACATATCCCTGGCTAAGTTGAACTGACAGTGCTGGCATTAGGGAGATGTACCACCATGCCTGGTGGCAGTAATTTTGAAACTTATTTCTGAGTATATTTATGAGGGCCATATTTTTTACAAGAGAAAGTGTTGCCTAGATACTGGTATTATGCAGCAAACTTCTAATATATTCTTTCAAAACTTTTCTATGGCATATCTGAGATGCTGAACTAAGATGTTGAAAGCCTCTAATGCTTAGAACAGTTCTTAAATATGTTCTTGCTACCTTTTTTTTTGGGGGGGGGTTCTAAGACCAAGTCTTAGCCTTGACAATTTTTAAACCAAGGCTTTGAAATATTTATTAGTGATACTGAATTTTTTTCTTTGTTTTTTCAACTTTTATGGTTCTAGGAGTCAAACCTAGCAGGTTTCAGTTTTCTTTTTTCTTTTTTAAATTGTTTTTCAAAATTTTATTGATAAACAGATAGCAATGAGACAGTTTCAAATCAAATCGGTAGTACAGTTTCAATAACTAACACACTGCATATATTCTTCTTAGTGGTTAATTGCTGTATAAGATGTGGACTTGAGATCCTATTTACAAACACCATTAGAACAAATCATTCTATTCGTTAAGAGAATGTAACTATATATCTGTCCTAACCACTTTGAATACACAGATACAAAATGGACATTCATCTGTATACCCCTTTTTTTCTAAGTTCCGTTATTGAATATTATAGGTGTGTAAACTCAGCAAAATAGTCTAAAAGAGTTCAGTAGCCCATAATAGCATTGGGTCTTCTGTTTAACTGGCAATGTCAGAAATTATTGACCTGAGTCCCCCAAAGCTCAACATAACAACATGGCTTTACTTCCTATATTTCATCTTCATACTTTTCTACTAGATGGTTAAGACCAAGGTAAAGCAGGACCTATGCAACAAGAGTTGTAGCTTTTGGGTCTGAGAAGGTCAGTGAAATCCCCTCAGGATTTATCCTGAGATCCTATACCCAGATTGTAGAACCTTTGTCAGTGTCAGCCATGTGGAAGGTTTCAGTTTTCTAGGCAAGTGCTTTGCTACTGAACTATATCTACAGTTTTGAACTTGGCAGGCGTGGGATAGTTTGCTATTTTTTGCTTGGAGAGTTAGAGCTAGGAGTCATATTATAGACCTGGCTTCCATTCCATTTTTATTTGTAAGTGAGCTGAGGCCTAAAAAGATAATGGAATTTAGTGAAAGGACAGGCTGTTGTATATTCCTGATGGATATTTTTAGTTTTCTCATGTTTGTCAAAGCTTTTAGCTAGAAAAATAACCCTTAATGAGCATCATAATTTTAATAAAACAAGTAGAATATTGGTTTTTTTTTTCTTTTTGGCAGAACTGGAGATTGAACTCAGACCCTTGTGCTTGCCAGGGAAGCGCTTATTCTACTGAGCCATCTCCCCAGCCCCAACAAGTAGAATATTGTAGCTGTTCTAAAAGTACTGAAATTTTAATATTCATTTGAGATAGTAAGATTCCACTTTTATAAAAACTGAATTATTATTTGGTTGTGATATTCTTATATTCATTTTCAGATTACTTGGTTCTGTATTATACACTTGGTTATTAGAATATTATAATGCTTTCTTTTCTTTTGAGGTAAGGTTTCCCTATGCATTTCAGACTGGCCTTATATTCACTATGGAGCCCAAGCTGGCCTTATACACACAGTGATCCTCTTGCCTCTGCCTCATGAGTCTGGATCTACAGGTGTGCGCTACCATGCCTGGCTATAATGTATTCTTAAGCAAAAGAGATGTTTTTGTTGGAATTTTAAACATTTGTGTATTAAAAAATACTCATTAGATCTTTATGAGATTTTGTTGATATGTTATTTTCTAATTTCATTTTTAAAAAAGTTAGTCTTTTATTGAAAGATATCCTGAGGGTTTTTTTTTTTTTTTTTTTTTTTTTTTTTGGGTGGAACTGGGGATTGAACTTGGCCTTGCGCTTGTCAGGCAAGTGCTTATTCTACTAAGCTATCTCCCTGGCCCTAGCCTGAGGTTTTTTTTTTTTTTTTTTTTTTTTTTCCCAGAACCGGGGATTGAACTCAGGCCCTTGCACTTGCCAGGGAAGCACTTATTCCACTGAGCCATCTCCCAGGCCCCCTAGCCTGAGTATTTTATTTTATTTTAATTTTTTTTAAAAAATTTATTTATTTATTTATTTATTTATTTGTGTGTGTGTGTGTGTGTGGCCAGCTCAGCCCACCAGGGGGCGGGGCTGGCTGGCATGTGGTGCTGGGGGATTGAACAGTGGTCCCTGTGTTTGCTAAGTTTGTTCTAAGTAGGTGCTTTAGACCACTGAGCCATCTCACCAGCCCTAGCCTGAGTATTTTAAAACATTCTTTTTATTAACATTTGAGGAACAAGATACTATTATCAAAATGTTAAATTTGAGGGCCAGGGAGGTAGCTCAGGCCTAAGTTCAATCCCTGGTACCACAAAAATAAATGTTAAATTTAATTTGAAATCTACAGTCTCTCCTCTTAGCTATCTAAGAATTTACTCTTGTTAAATTCATTTTTAATTAATTTAATGTTCTTTGGTTTAAGTGTTGAGGGACTTTTTTACCAGTTGTCTCATTTCTACTACTATGTAAGACAAAAAGACAGGTCTTTATTAGGAGTATATGCCATCGGATCACTTCTGGTTATAAAAGCAATTCCTTAGGCAGAGATTTGAATTTGTTAATGAAGGCACTTGGAAGAAAAAAAATAACAAAACTTTTAATGATGCTTTCCAGAGATAGGTAGCAGCCAATACACTAATCTTGCTTTTGTTTGGATAGCCATCCTATTTTGTACATAGTTTCATTGCATAGGCATATGTGCCTTCAAGTTTACACCACAACAAATGATGTGGAGTTTTCTTTGTAGGCACCAGTCAGAAAACAGATGAAAGCTAAGCAGCTTAACACACAGTCTTACGGTGTGACCAGTTCCACAGCTCGGCGAATATTGCAATCCTTAGAGAAGATGTCAAGCCCTTTAGCGGTAAGCTTTTAAAATCATAATTACATGTAGAAGTGTAAGGAAGTTTGAATTCAGTGGAAAGTATTTTTACAAAAATAAATTTTGTTACTTAACAGGATGTGAAAAGAATTCCATCTGTTTCTTCTCTGAATTCTGTAAGTTGATGTTCAAGCCTATAACTTGATGGAGTCGTATTTTTGAGTTTCATGTGTATTGTAATACTTAGTGTTTTACTTTTCTCAGCCTCTTGATAGGAGTGGGATGGATACCACAGATTTTTGGGGCAAAAGACAAAAGGTAAGACAGTTACTCAAAGTATGCATCAGCAATTTTCTTGTATTTAAAATTAGTAAATGCAATAATTGGCTTTTGTTTATAGTCATTAGGGAATATGTTCAAAAATAAGCTTGTTTTACTTGGATATAAATGTTGTGACAGCTACCCATTCATTATTTTTTTGTGATTTGGGATTTTCATCTTCAGGTTCTTGGTAGTTTTTATAGCTTGCTCTTTCTTTTTGATCAATAAAGTAGTGAGCAAAGTTTGAAATGTTTAGTAATTAGATGTTCAGTGAATTGAAACTTTCATTGAACCTAATTATCTTGTAAACATTAGATGACATGAAATCTGTTTTGTGTAATAGAATTGCAATTTGGTACCTGTTTTATCAGCTAGCCAAAATAATTCTAGGTTACTAGAGCTAATAAAATATACAAATATCTTGGTACTCTTATTAGTGCATTTTCGAGGATACTGTGGGAAAGAGAAATATTTGAATTATTGCTACTAAAATTGTTGCATAGAAGAAAGCTAAGATTGAATTTTTTCCTCTCCTCTTTTTTTTTTTTTTTTTTGGTGGAACTGGGGATTGAACTCAGGCCCTTACGCTTGCCAGGCAAGCATTTATTCTACTGAGCTATCTCCCTGGCCCCTGAATTTTTTTCTTAGAATGTTGCTTTCCAATTTTTAGAATTACCTGGATGTTTGTTACTGGGCCGTAAATACTTTATTGAAGCTGTCATGGGATTAATTTAAGCCTTTTCTCAGATCTCCTTTATATCAGACTTACAAAAGTACTAAAAGTTTAAGCATGTGCTTATTGTCAGTAAAAATTTTTAATTAACGGGAGCTGAATATGGTGGTACAGGCCTGTGGTCCCAGCTGATTGGAATGCTGAGGCAGGAGGAGTCCAAGTTTGAGGCCAGTTTTGTAAGAACCTGACTTGAAATAGTACAAGAAGTCTTACTAGTGGTTCAATATATTTATTTGTTAATTTTTTGGGAATGGTCTACAGGGTGCTCAGGGTCTTACTACTAGATTGGACTTGTAGTGATCCGCCTGTTTATAGCCTCTCAAGAGTGGGATTACAGGTGCACGCCACCACGCCCAGTCTCAATTGCTGTTGCAGTGCACCCCGGGGATTGAACCCCTGGCCTGGGCGCTTTAATCCGCTGAGCTATTTGGCTGGCTTGGTTCAATATATTTAAATAAAAGTTTATTATTGGGTGCTAGAGAAGGAAAGGCTAAAATGCAGTATTGTAGTTCATGTTTCACATATATAAATAGTCTGTGAAATTCACTGTCTCATTGAGTTGTAATATCACATTTATGAGAAAATTTTAAGGAAGAGCTAGTAAATATATAGAGGTTTTGCCCTGGAAACCAGTGCTGTTCATAGCTGCTGCTCAGTGAAAATACTCCATTCATAGCATAATAATCTCTGTACTCCTAGGCGGTTTGGCCTCATAGTGATCTTACAGCAGGATTTTTACTCTTTCACTGTAGCAAAGGACTGTTAGCGAGACACTTGTGTACTATACTTAGACAGTAAAATTCCTTTTTTCCTGAATGAGTCTTAACAGTATTTTATTGGTTAAAATGTAGTAGTTGTGCTTTGTTTTGTATCTTAAGTAACAATAGGGGAAAACAACTCACAAGATGTTCCCTATATTTCAAAACTTATTTCTGGCCAAAAATATCTTAATTTCATAAGGAAAATATAGACAATAATTTGAGGAAAATGTGAGAAAACCAGGTGCACGTCACCACGCCCAGTCTTAGTGTTTTAGAAACTGAGAATTCCAGTAAAATCGTACAATGTAACTGCTTTATGTATTGCTTAGTTCAGTTTTGTGTGTGCAAATGTATATACATGTATTAAAAAGTCATTAAATTTGGAATAAAATTGATCTGTGAAAGATTTAGAATTTTATATGTACATTTGTGCATATAAACGTATCTTTCATTCCATTATTGTTAGTTTTCTATAGTTTGTTTTTTTTTTTTTTTGGTGGAACCAGGGATTGAACTCAGGCACTTGCACTTGCCAGGGAAGCGCTTATTCCACTGAGCCATCTCCCTGGTCCCTAGTTTTCTATAGTTTTTCCAGTTAGTGTTTATTTGCATCTACTGAGTATCTCAGAAGTACTCATGGTGTCTAGGTCACTTTAGCTATGGTCAATTAGTTTTATGTGTCATTGTTAAATATTTGAAAATGTCTTCAATTTCTGTTTACTTATAAGGTGGACTCTCAGCATCCCCCTGTTCAGAGACTTATGACCCCAAAGCCAATATCCATAGCAACAAATAGAACTGTTTATTTTAAGCCATCTCTGACCCCAACTGGGGAATTAAGGAAGACTAATCAGAGAATAGATAAAAAAGACAATGTGAGTATGTGTTTATTTTTATCAGTCTTTGAATATTGATGGGAATGAGTAAAAATACAGTACAACTATTCTTAACATTATAGTCTAGGAATAATACATATAATGCTTCATAATTAGTGATTATGAATTAGTATGTCTCTAAAACAGCTTTTATCCTGGTCAAATCATAAATTAGTGTTTGCTAGTAAACAGTATATATTCATGGCTAGATTAATCTTGGCATTGTTTTATCCTTATGTCTTGTTTGTATTGATACACTACATGACAATAGGTTTCAGATACCATGACTTTGACCCCCCCCCAAGTAGTTTGGCATGCATTTAAACGCTTCTGTATAATCTCAACTGTGAGATAAATGTTAATTCTTTAATACTACATCATCTAATTCCTAGTCTATTTACAAAGTTTAAGAAAAATGCAACATTTATATAGGCAAAGATGATATCCATATTAGAATAGCTATAAATTGGGCTGGAGAGATAGCTCAGCAGTCTAAAGTGCCTGCTTAGGCAAACTTAGGCAAAGTGTAGGGACTGTGGTTTTATCCTCAGTACCACATGCCACGCCAGCCCCACCCCCAGAGTGGGCTGAGCTGGCCACAAAAAAAAAAAATATCTACAAATCAAGAATACCAACTGGGCCGGCCTGATAGCTCAGTGGACTAAGGCGCCTGCTTAGGCAGAGTGCAGAGGCTGGGGTTCGATCCCCAGTGTGCCGTGCCATCCCCACTCCCAGGGTGTGCTGAGAAGGCAATTGAGACTGGGCATGGTGGTGTGCACCTGTAGTACACCTGTAGTCTCAGCGCTTGGGAGGCTGAAGATAAGTAGAATCACTGAATCTGATCTATGTAGTGAGACCCTGTAGACCCTGAAAATGCTGTCCTAAATACAGAAAAAATAAATATAAATTTAAAAGAATAATACCATCTGGATAGAAAATGACCAAAGAGTAAATAAAACAGCCAATTTAGGGGAAATAAAGTTAACATGGATTAAAGTGGGAGAAGAAGCCAAATTAGTTGTCAGGGAATATTATCTAGGAAGTTCTAAGGATATGGTAGATTTTAAAACAAATATTTTTCCTTATTTTTCTGAGTTCATTAGTACAGTTTAGTTATTCATCATTGGGAATTTGTACTTGTACCTGATATATTTTTTTGCTGCATTTTTCCCATCCTCATCCCTTTACTTCAACCTGTACCCCTCATTTACAAAAGCTTTCTTTCTTTCTTTTTTTTTTTTTCTTTTGTTTTTGTGGTACCAGGGATTGAACTATGATCTTGCACTTGCCAGGCAAGCACTGAGCTATCTCCTTGGCCTCTTCCCTTCCATTTTTTCATATCTCTTCCTTTTTCCCTTTCCTCTTTACTTGTTTTACTTCTCATTTGGACTTAAAATTAAAAAAACAAAAAACTTATTTGGTAGTGTCTTGCAAAATTTATTTGGTATAGTATTGTAGTGATCCTCTGTCCTCAGCCCTTTTATCTTTTTCTCTGTCCTACACATGAAAAATCCTTTTACATGTTGCCTAACAATGTTTGAACTTAGACATTTACTGTTACTACAACACTTATCTACAGATTTTACTTAGATGTTACCAGTTGTCCTGAAGGAAAGAAAACACTCCTTTTCTGCATTTAGTTTTGGTTAGAATGTTTATATTTTCTCTGATTTATTTTTGAGACAGGATCTTGTTATGTAGTTTGGCTTACAGGAATATTCCCAACTTGTCAGTTACACTATTTTGTATATACAGTTCCACTCTAGCTTTTGGTTACCATGGATAAGGCAAGGTCTAAATTATGAATTTTAGGCCTTAATAACTAAAATCATCAAATTCCTGATTCCAGATACTAAAATACAGAGAAAGGATGGTATTAAAAATTACTATTTTTTTCTTGTAGACTGGATATGAAAAAAGTGTGACACTCAGACAAAATAGAGAACAAGAAAGGTAATGTTATTTTACAAACAGCTGAGTTTCTTTGTATTTAATTTGTAAAGATCATGTTAGAGTTACAAAAACCTTTTGGGAAATGAAAGTAAAAGCTAGAAACTTCATGCACCTTTGTCAGTTTAAAAAATTACATTCAGTGAATATTTTCTTGTTAACAGTTCTGCTGTTTAGGGATTTAGTTATTAACAAGTTATGGGCCAAAATAATGTATCAATTTGTTTTGATTTTTCTTTTTATTTGCTAGTGGCTTTTCATACCCAAATTTCAGTATTCCTGCAGCCAATGGTTTATCTTCTGGAGTAGGTGGTGGAGGTGGCAAGATGAGGCGAGAGAGAACACGCTTTGTTGCTTCTAAACCTCAGGAAGAGGAGGTAGGTTATATAATACTTTTGAGGTTCGTAAAAGCTTTAATAGGAAATTGTTAAAGGGCAGAGCTGGGTAAGTGGACTTTAGGAAGCCCTAGAGCAAGAACTTATGTGCTGTTGAAACAGACTTTTCAAAGTATGTGCCAAAACCCTAAACCAATAGAGAAGTTTAAATTTCTTGAGTATCAATAACTAACAATGAAAACGAAAACATCATCATTCTTCAAATAAAAAAAAAATGCCTTTGATTATTTGACTCTTGGGATATTACCATGCAGTTTGTTTCTACACTTTTAAATGGTTGATGTTGTCATACATGTTTATCATACATGTCATACATGTTTATCCTTTGTGCATTTTTTCTTATAATTTATGTTGTGAAAGATAATTGTAGTTCAGCTTACAGATTAATTGCTATCAATTTATCTAGCTGATGGTTTACTGTAATTAATGCATTCTACCATCAGTATCTGGTTTGATTTCTAGTACATGTTAAGGTGAATATTTAAGCACCTTTTTCCTTCTGCCCATATGCAGCATTTTCTCTAGGATAGTTACCTAGGAATGGAATAAGTGGATTGTAGGTAATTGCAACTGGTAGATGTACTTTTTTTTTTTTTTTTTTTTTTTAATCTTTTTGAGACAGGATTTCACTATGCAATTCAGGTTGGCCTTTCAATAAATGATTTGAGTCAAGTTAGATCTCTGCTTCCTTTTTTTTTAAAGATCTACTTAGCTCACTAAATCTCTTTTGCCTGTGAACTCATATTTTAATAGAAAGTTTTGGATGTCCTAGAAATTTCTTCATGTTTGTATTTTGTGGGTATCTGAAAAAGGGAAGGGCTTTCTGTCTTTTTTTTTTTTTTTAATCCTTCCATTTACAAATTAGCAATAGTTTGCATCTACTATAGCAGAATCATGACTTCCTGGAAGTTTCTTGTTTTCTGCCACACAGTCTGCATTGCCACGATAGTTGAGATTATGTTAAGAATCTCAGTCTACTCACTTGTTTGGGGCTTATCTCTTTGCCTTAGCTTGTTTCTCTGTTCCTGGAGTGTTCTGAAGGGAGGGAATGTTTTCATGTGTTCTACCATCTTGAAAGACAGTTTGTCTTAATGCCTACAATTGTATATTTTTTTGTAGCAATACATTTTGTTATTGAAGCTTTTAATGTATACTATTAATTACATTTAAGAAATAGGTTGCCTGAGCTGGAAATGTGTAGCTCAGTGGCAGAATGCTTGCCTAGCATGTGTTAGTAAGCCCTGGGTTTGACCCACAGTACCCTTGTCCCCAAAGAAATAGTTTACAGTGATGCTGGGCCTTTCAGAGCTTTCACTGATCACAAGCAGCTGGCTGCATCCATGTGCTGTAGGTTTGCCACTACAGTATATATAAAGGACTTGGTATTTGATTAATGTAGCATACTTATTTTTTGGTAAGGTTTTTAAAATTTTCTGTAATACTGGTAGTTCTACCCTTTGTAAAGGTTATCTTTGATGAAAACATTGGTATTTGATAGATACAAGTTATGGAGATTTGCTCATTTTTCTTCGGTTTTAGTTTTTGAAAGATCTTATAGAGCCTCAGGTTGATCTCTGTAACTTAATTTTAGTTGTCATGCAGATATCTAGTGTGACTTGCAGTATTGGGTTCTTTTGTGGGAGGTATTAATTTATTCTTTCCCCCCCTTTGGTACTGAGAATCAAATTCAGGACTTTGCATTTCCCAGGCAGATGCTGTGACATTAAGCTGTATTCCCAGCCCTACTTTTGTTCTGATGTGGTATATTCCCTCTGAAGAACTTTGAGGTGTGCTTCCTCCAGCCCCCATTGACTTTATCACATCCTCCTTTCATCTCGACCCCCCTCCAGTCTGGCCAACTGCCAACTGTCACTTTTGTATCCCAGGATGCCTCTCGCCCAACTCTTTCCATCCTTGTTTTTTTTTGACATTGGAGTATAGCCGCCACATTTCTGAGGAAAGAGGTACTGTGCTAATGGGATAGTTGCCCACCATGCCCACGTACTGTAACTATTTTGAGTGCAGTGGGTTTTTTTGTTCACAGATCAAGTATGTTCAGACTACTAGTGTCTTAGTTAAGTTATAGGCAGTAAAAATTTTTGGTAAAAGATTGAAATTTTTCTTTATACTTTAATAGGCCTTCAGGAAAGGTTAAATGTGATGTTCATTTTTGATAGAATATAAATTTATAATGTTTTGAGGACAGTTACTGCTTAATAGAAATTGCTGTGTTTTGGTTCACTAAACAGACAAGTTAATAGATACCTGTATTTAAAATAGTCTATTTTATAATGTGAGATGGTAAGAATGTGTTTTAGTTTTTACTTTATCTTAGATTCCAAATATAAGTAAGTGAACTTATTAAAAGGCATTTTTAGGCTGGACTTGGTGGCGTGCACCTGTTATCCCAGCACTTGGGAGGCTGTGAACAGGAGAATCACTACAAGTCTGATCTACGTAGTGAGACACTGAACACCCTGTTGACCTTGCCCTAAATACAGAAGGAGAAAAAAAAGGGCATTTTTCCTGGACTGTGTTATCAATTTTTTTTATAATTAAAAGTCATTGGTACAATACAGATGAGCAGAATATAATGAGTCTGAATTTGGAGAAACCTGTTTGTTACTGTCAGATATAAGCTGACCACTTAATAGCTGTGTGGGTCAGCTTTATTCTTTGCACCTCTTCAGTTTCCCTATATATTAATCTGGGCTAAGAATAAATGTACTGAACTTTGTCCAGGGGATATTCACCACTTAATCACCATATATTAGGCCATGTTTCTGTCTTTGCTCCTTTTTCTTCCTGGGCACCAGTATATTTCATGTAAGAGAACTCATGTAAAGGTATGACCAAGATAATATGTAGTAAGTCATCAAATTTTGATTTGTGTGTTAAATTTGCGATGTCTATAGTTAGTAGACATGAGATGCATCTAGTTAGTAGAAATTTTGGCTTCTTTTCTCCTAGATTAGTTGAACCCACTTACGTTCTCTTAAATTAAAATTTGGGGTGATAATCCAATTACAGAATTAGTTCAAGGTCAGTAATATAAAGAATCATTATGGTTAAGTTTATGGCTTAATGAATTCCTATGAGATAGTGGGTTATACAGGTGATTCAAGGGTTCTGAAGGCAAGAAGATAAGGCTAGAGGTTGGAGAGGGAAGAAATTTTCTTGTATAAATGGCCAGATGTTTCTTCTGATTGTCTTTCTCATCCCAAACTGATTATGTTTCAAGTATTAAAAATGTTGAAGTAATTGTGCAGTGATGTATAATACATAGCACTTTGGATTAGTTGTATTTGTTTTGTCAAATAAATAATCCAACTTTTTTTTTGTACATTTCAAAGCAAATTGAAAGCAGTTCATTTTATCCTCAAATACTTTACACATATAGTATTATTAAATCTTCATTTTTTAAAATTTAGCAAAAAAATTTGGTGTGGTGAAATGTAAAATTCCTAGGTTAATCATTTAATGCATTGACAAATAGTTATATCTGTGTAACCCAGACCCCTGCTGAAACATTGAACATATCCATCATCCCAGAAAGTATATTTATGTTCCTTCCCGGTACATTCCTTTTACTTCTAACCAAGTGGTAACCACTATTCTCATTTTTTCTATATGCTGATTTACCACTTATCAGTTCATTTATTTAGATATATGATGACTAAATATTGTGTGCCTTTTTGTTAATTTTTATAAGATAATAGGAAATATAAAGGTGACAGTTTTATCAAATTTATTCAATACAAATGAACTCTGGGTACAAGTATTTGTCAGGCATATGTTTATTTTCTCTCATGGCTTCCCTATTTTCTTAATAGTATGTTTTGATCAGTTTTTGCAAATTTTATGTCTGAACTCATGTTTTTCTCTTATATGAGTTTTACTGTTCTTTGTATTTTAAGATACATTGCCTGGAAAAAAAAAAAAAAGAAATTTAAAAACCAAATTATTTATATACATCAGTATGATAATATTCAAAGTGACTAATAGTGGAGTGAGTACTAAAAAATATGTATACTAAGCAAGAAAGTTATTTGTGGAAAATATCACTTATTAGGGGAACCAAAACTTAATTTAGATTATAGTGGTGCTTTTTCAGAGTAAAGATTTATAGAAAAAAAAAAAAAAGATACATTGCCTGACCACAGGCTGCAGAATAATGTCTTTTGTTTGCTTTTAGATGGTTTATGTTTTTTTCTGATTTCTAATTTTTTATTTAGCTCATGGGTGAAAAATATAGTTAACCTCTAAATATTTGGTGATTGTTAATTTCTGATTTAACTTTATACTTAGAGAAAGATTGAAATCAACATTTTATACTTTGAAATGTATTGATTTTTCAGTGTAGCCCAGTGTATGTTATGCTTGATAATCTTGAGTAGATTTCTTATATATTTGGGGGTATATATAATGCTGTGCTAGTTAGTAAGATGACTTTTAGGATTTAGGATTTCTTAGATGTTTGTTTTTTAGTCTCTTTTTTTTTTTTTTTGAGGCGGCAGTATGACTAGTCCATTAAATTACCAAGTGATGATTAAAATTGTGAACTTTTATTTGTTGGATTTATCTTTCCTTCCTTAATTATATCAGTTATTGCTTCATGTAATTTAAGACCTTCATTAGAACATTAAACTTAACATTAGTTGTATGACTGCTTAATGATTTGTCCTTTTAATATTAAATATCTTTAAAAATCTTCAGAAATGTGCTTTACCTTGAAATCTACTTAGTTATTGATACAGCTACTATACTCTTGTTAGAGGAAGTTGTATGCTTATTAGCTGTAGGGGTATATCTTTTTCATCCGTTGACTTTTAGCCTATCTGTATTTAAAGTAACTCTTAAGTAAATAGTATATATAGTTGAGTCTTGTCCTTTAATTGGAATGCAACCATTTATAATTAATATACTCAACATAATTACTGTTATTGTTGGATTAAGGATTTTTTTTTTGTCTTTTTGAGACAGAGTCTCCTTATGCAGTTTATGCTGACCTTGAGCTCACTTTGTGGCCCTAGCTGGTCTTGAACCTAAGATAGTCCTTGTACCTCAGGCTGCCAAGTACAGGGGTTACAGATGTGTTGGCTCATATTTCACTTGGTCTACTTTTAAGTTCTATCTCTTTGCATTTGTTAATGTTCCTTTCAATCATAACTTTTTCCAGACTGATTTCCAGACTAAACCAGAATATTGGTTGAATATAAGTTACTGTGACACTAACTAAAGTGGAACTGTTTTTCTCATTGAGTCACTGGAGACTTGGGATGTTTTTGGTCTAATGGTTTAAAAACCAATGTGTTTCACCACTCATTGATTTTTGAGGGTTGTTAAAACTACATAATATATAACTTATGTTTTGTATTAATGATACAGGTATGATACTGAGAAACATTTTCTTGTTTCATTTGTATCAGTTGGAAAATTGGAGCTGAGAGTAGTTAGGTTCTCAGTTCAGATTTTTTTTTTTTAATTTAAAAGACCATATTATAATATTGCATAGTGCTGTACTACCTTTTTCCTATTTTAAATTTATCTATAACTTCATCAGTTCTATCTGAAAATAGAATAATATGAAAAATAGAAAATATCATTATAAACTGTGTTGTGTTTTAGGAAATGGACATCCCAGTATTACCGAAAATATCTCTACCAATCTCCAGTTCTTCACTGCCTACCTTCAATTTTAGTTCCCCTGAGATCACAACTTCCTGTCCATCATCCTTTAGTCCTTCTCAATCATTAACAAACAAGGTAATGAGCCAATGTGTCAATGAAGTGGTTTTTGTTCATATTCTTTCCTTTAGAAAATCCAGTGTTTTTCAAAAGAAGTGATTAGTAATGCATAGTAGAGAAATAAATTGTTTTACTCTTCAAAAATGCACAACTGTCTTATATGCATTATTGTGGAAATATTTAGCCTTTATATAGTACATTAGAAAAAGATGATTGCAAGTTTCCAAATAATATTTCCACTAAGATAATTTGTTTTGGTAGGACTTGGTACAAGGTTTTATTTTTTAGGTAGGATTAACATCTTTTTAAAAATTATTTTATTTTTTTAAGGAAGGATTTATAGGGTGTTCAAGGTCTCATTACTAGATAGGACTCATAGTGTTCTGCCTGTTTACAGCCTCCCAAGAGCTGGGATTACAGGTGTGCGCTACCACGCCTAGTCTCAATTGTAGTCTCAGTGCACCCTGGGGGCGGGGCCAGTACAGCAGGCCTGGTGGATTGAACCCCTAGCCCCTGGGCCTGCTTAGAGGCACTTTAATCTGCTGAGATGTTTGGCCAGCCTAGATTAACATCTTGAATCTTCTCTTGAGACATTATTTTTCTCCTTTAGATAAATGTCCATTTCTAAGGTTTTATATATTGTCCCAAAAGGTACCCAGTTTTGTAGCAATTATTGTTCATTTTTGCCACAAGTTAATAAAAAAAATGGCTGTTAAATCTAAAAGGAACAAGAATACTTTTAAGTTCTTTGAAATAATTTTCTTAAGGTCTGTTTATATATTGAATTTTTTTCTCTAAATAACTTTTTATCATTTCTTTATGGGAATAAAACAGGTACAAGTGACCTCTCCAAACAACACAGACAGCCCTGTGTTTAGATTTTCATCTCCAATTGTAATATCTACTGAGGCAGTTGTACTATCGCCGTCATCTGTAAGTAGCAAGCATGGAGTATCTCATGTTAATTGATTTCAAGGCCAAGCTGTATTACTCAATTTATTATGCTGTTGGAAGTAAGAAACAATTCTTACTGCCAACTTAAAAAATATTCAGGGTACAGCAAACTTTTAAGTGAATAATCTCATATTCTTCACTGTGTGTGTGCGTGTGTGTGTATGTAGAGTTTCTCCTGTATCATTTGACAGTTGAAGTGCAGATACCTGATTAGCTTAAGGCACTGGTGGTAAATCTATGGTATGTGTGCTTCAGCTGGCTTTGTGTTTCCATTTAAAGCTTTAATAAAAGTTTTACCATGACTGACTTAATGCTTCTTCACATCTCCTCTAAGAACAGACACATTCATTTGCCATCTTGGGTACCTCTGTACCCAAGAAAAATTTAACACAATGCAGTACTAATATAGTCTGTATTAAGATGTTTTCCTGTCATCCCCATATGTCCATTAATTGCTGTTTTATTTCTGTTAGTCCTAGATACAGTAAAAGACTTAAGACCTAATGCATTAAAATCACACTGTATGTGTATGTCTCTTGAATCATCTTGAATGTTGAGAAATGATGGGCTGTTGTCATACAATGTGATTTGTTTCTTAGTGGTCAGAAAATGATTTGAATAATAAGAATAAAGTTTAACATTGAAGTTGTCCCATATTTGACACATGGATTATTTTAATGCATTGCCCTTTTAACTTTGTCCCTAATTTTCTGTCATAACTAGGTGATATTCATTAAATATAACTTCCTTGCCATCAGTTATCTTGAAAGTCTCATACTTTTTTGTTAGAAAGTAACATTCAGAAACTGAAAATGGGCCATTTGTAATACAGCTATCATTTTATGTACTGTTTTGAGAGATAAAAAATATTAAAATACTGTGACACTATGGCTTGCTGTTTAATATAAGAATCCCAAGTGTTCTTTTTATGTATTTGGTGCAGGGTCTCACTATGCAGTTTGCACTCATAGTGATCCTCCTGTTTTCAGCCTCCCCAGTGCTGGGATTACAAGTGTGCGCCACCATGCCCAGTCTCGGTGGTCAGCTCAGCACACCTGAAGATGGGGCTGGCTTGGAATGTGGTGCTGGGGATCAAATCCTGGTCCCTGCGCTTGCCTAAACAGGCACTTAGTCTGCTGAACTATCTTGCTGGCCCCCAAAATCCAAAATATATATTATTTTGTGATGCCAGATATTGAATCTGGGTCTGGACTTCATATATACCAGGCATTAGCTCTACTATTGAGCTGTAACTGTCCTCCCCCACTTGCTTTTTTAAAAGTTATTTTGTTTGGTTTTTTAAAGACAGGATCTCACTATGTAGTTCACACTGGTCTGAACTGCTTCGGCCTCCTCAGTGCTGAGATTATAGGTGTGAGCCACTATGCCTGGCTCAACCTACTTTTTTTGAGGTAGCATCTTGCTCAGTTACTTAAATTGATCTCAAACTCTTGGGCTTATGTGATCCTCTTGCTTTAACTGCCCAGGTGCCAGAACTGCAGGAGAACATCACAGCACCCAACTTAAGAATTCCAATTATAGTCATTGTAACATACAAAAAACTGTTACTTAAAAATAAGTGAAATTTAGGAGCCGGGGAGATGGCTCAGTGGAATAAGCGCTTCCCTGGCAAGCGCAAGGGCCTGAGTTCAATCCCTGGTTCCACAAAAAAAACCAAACAAGCACATAAAAATAAGTGAAATTTAATAAATTTTTTTACTTGTATTAAACTACATTATATTTGAAAATAAATTGATGTTCTTTGGTCTTTACAGATTAGATTTACATTTAGTATGCCTGTTGCGAAAACAGAAATTTCTGGCTCTAGTAGTACTTCAGAACCAATTATAAGTAGTTCAGGTAAGTAGGCATTTTCACATGTTTTTGCAAAAACACAATTGCAGATACTTCAAATTCTTGGTTTTTTACCTTTAGTAAATCTTTTAAATGCTTTTCCTTCCGTTAAATTAGTTACTAGTTAAAACCAGAAGCTGCTATTCTTCTAATAATGCTATTATCTTCAAGAGCTAGAAAGTAATTATAGTTTGCTTTAGAGCAGGTAGTCAGAATAGCAAATGTATCCACCATCATTGTTTGGTAAAATTAAGGTGGCAAATTTGTTATAAATGAAGTCTCAAATTTTAAGGTTGGTATATTTTACTTATTTTAAAGAGAAAAACAATTTGAAAACAATAATACAGTAACAATGATTAATACATTGGGTATTGTTAACTTTGTTACCCAGCATTTAATTGTCCATATGATCCTAGCACAAACCTATCTTTTCAATAAACTAAGAGAAATTAGTAATATAACTATTTTAATTATCGTGTGTGTGTATATGTAATTTTTTTTCTTTGATTTTCCCTTTTTTTCTATTTTCCCCATCAGTTTCTCTTTTGAAATTTTTTTCCATTTCACAATATGTATTGTACATTTTGGTTGTTACTTACTCTTTCCTGGTTTCACAGTAGGAGGACAATACGATGTTTACACATTTGCACCTCGTTTATTTCACTTAAGAGTTTGGTCTCGAGTTGTATCCATTTACATATAAAAGTCTCCAGTTTATTGTCTATGGTTGAATAGTATTCAGTTATAGAAAAAGAGTACGTCTTTTTTTATCCATTCCTTCCTTGGTTGAGTTGCTTCTAAGATCCAGCTATTACAAATTGTGCTGTTATAAAAATGGGTGCAAGTATGTTTTTAATTGTTCTGGGAAGTTACTCATAAGGAAGGGGTATAGCTAGGTCAAATGGGGCCTCCAGTCCTAGTTTTTTGAGGAGTCTCCACACTGATGTCCACAGTGGTTGCACCAGTCTATACTCCCACCAACAGTGGAGACGTGTCTCCTCGCCCCCGCCCCCACCCCCAACCTCCACCCCTGCCCTGCAACCCCTGCAGCCTTTGTTACTGGTTGATTTCTTGATAATAACCACTGGCCTGTAGTTCTCTTTTTTAGTTGGGTCCTTCTTGAGTTTTGGTATCAGGGTAGTGCTTGCTTCCAGGAATGAATTTAGGATTTTTGCTTGCCTTTCAGCTTCATTAAAGAGTTTGTGAAGTAGTGGTGTTAGGTCTTCTCTTAAGTTTCTTGTATAATTCAGCAATTATTCCATCAGGGCCTGGGGTTTTTCTTTGTTGTTGTTCTAATTATATCTTGGAGTTCATTGATAGATACTGACTTACTTAGAGTTTTATGACTGCTTGATTCAGTTCTGGTAATTCGTATGTGTCTAGGAATATGTCCATTTCTTCTGCATTTTCCGTGTTATTTGAATACAAGTTTTCAAAGCATTCGGGATAGGTGATGGTCTAGATTTCTGCAGTCTCTTGTGATTTCACCCATTTCATTCCTAATTGCGTGGAATTGAGTCTTTTTTTTTTGATAAGGTTGGTTAAGGGTTTGTCCTTTTTACTTAATCTTTTATTGAAGAACCAACTCTTGGATTTATTGATTCTTGGTATTGTTTTCTTAGTCTCTAATGTGTTAATTTCTCTGTGATCTTTGTATTTTCCTCCGTGATGAGCATTTGGCTTAGCCTGCTCTTTTCCTAGAAGTTTGAGGTTCACCGTTAAGTTGTTGTTTGCACGTGCGCTTATTTTCCTGATTTGGGTATTCACTGCTATAAATTTCCCTCTTAGGACTGCTTTCATCGTGTCCCATAAGTTCCGGTATGTTGCATTGTTATTATTTTAACTGCAGAAACTAATTTCTTCTTTAATTTCTTCTGAGACCCATTGGTTGTTCAGGTGGGTGCTGTTCAATTTCTGTGTGTTTATGAAGTGGTTGTGGTTTCTTTTGCCATTGATTTCCAATTCTGTTGCTTTGTGGTCTTACAAGATGCATGAGATAATTTCAGTTCCTTTGCATTTACTTGAGCACGTTCTGTGAGGTAGTATGTGGTCTAATTTGAAGAATGCGCCCCGTGTGCAGCTGAGAAGAATGTATATTCTGATGTGGTGGGGTGGAATTCTCTGTAGACATCTACTAAGTCCATTTGTTTACAAGGTTGGTTCAGTTGTTACTCCGATGTTGATTTTTTTGTGGGGGTGATATTTTTGTGATAGTGGGTTATTGAAATCTACCAGGACAGTTGTATGTATTAGTGCTTATGTGATTTTTTCATGTCCATTACTATTTGTTTTATATGGTTGGATGCACTGGCATTTGTTGCATATGTATTTATGCTTGTTATCTCTTCCTCTTGCATTGTCCGTTTTACAAGGATGTAGTGACCTTTTTCTTTCTTAATTAGTCTTGGCTTGAAATTTTCTTTGCCTGCAATTTCTTTGCTGCTTTTTTCTGGCTTCCTGGCACATACAGTTTTTCCATCCTTTGACTTGCAGGGTATGAATTTCTTTTTCAGTTGAATGTGTTTCTTGTATACAGTGTGTTGTTGGATTGTGCTTTTTGATCCATGCCTCACTTTCTGTATGTCAGGTTCTTTTTCTGCACAGGGAAGTTTTCAGCCTTGAAATCTGTGTACAGTTTTTAAGTATCATTTGTGCGATCTCCTGCTTTTTCCTTGATTCCAGTTGATCTTAAAGTACCCCTGCCTGTCTCATCTTGCAGCTGCACCATTGGTTTCTCATGATGCCTTGCTATTTTTAAGAAATCTTTTCGTGCTCACTAACTGCAAGCTTGTCTCCTATACTTGAGATCCTGTCCTCAAATTGGTTTAATCTGCATCAAATACTTTCAATGAAATTTTTATTCTGGGAATCTACTCAACTCTGCCTTACATATTCCAGTTGTTTCCTGTGCTGGGCATTCATGGCTTCCATAATTTTCTCAAGCCCCTCTAGTTTTTTGTCTGTATCTGCTCTAGAATCACTAAGCATGTTAGTCTTTGTGGACACCATCTGTGCATTTATCTGAGAAGTTATTTCTGATTTGGTATTTTCTGGAGCAGCATTCAGTTGCTTTGTTGTTGTTGTTGTTGCCACTTTAGAGGCTAGATGGGTGGTTTTTGGATTTTTCCTCCTCAGTACCCCAAGTTTTCCTTTGGTGATTTGGTATCTTTTTCTTTTGTGCTACCTGGGATTGAACTCTGTACCTTGTGTTTGCCAGGCAAGTGCTTATTCTACAGAGCTATTTTTCCTGGCTCCTCCTTTTGGTGATTTGGATGTCTGGAGCTGTATCTTGTTTAATTGTTGTCTCTGAGTCTCCCTCTGACCCTCTTTCCCTCTCTTCCTCTGCCTCCTCATCTCCCTCCCTCCTTTGTTTTGTTCTAAGTTTAATTCATCTAGTGATGTTTATAAATTGCTTATTGTGGGTTGCTTTTATTGCTAGGTTTTAGAACCTTTAGAAAATGACTCCTTTTCTAAAGTATCTTCCAGTTTAAGTGGGTTTAAAGTTTCAGCCTGTTGCAGGATCTCTTCAGTTTGTTGGGATGACAAGTTGCTGCCTGTTTGGCCCAGCCGGTGTTTCTTTGGGACTGTGCCACAATGTTTTGTATGACTTTTAGTCAATCTCAGTCTTCAGATAGCAAAAAGAATAGCTGTTTATAATAGTTATGTTTGATTGATGTGTTACAATCAGCAGTAACTATAGTAACAGTTGCCACCTAGAAAATGACAGACCAGTGTCAGTGGCTTCAGTTAATAAGAGACAGACTTACCGAATGTGATCAACAAGTACTACCCGAAAATATACTGTGTAGAAGAAATACATTTAATTCAAAAAGGAATTAATACACTGAATGTCAAAGGATGGAAAACAATACTACATGCAACAGGAAGCTAGAGCAAAGCAGCCAAAGCAATTAGAAAAGAAAAAAATTAGCATCATGTGGTGGCATTTTATAGTGTTTAGTGATATAACAGTCCATTGCAGTATAGGTGCCATAGGTTTGTCACTTGTGCTTCGGAAGTGTTTGGGGATTTCCTTACTGCCTTCCCTTCCTTCCCAGTCTCTTCTCCCTTTCTCCAGTCACCTTTTTTTTTTTTTTTTTCCTTCTTCTGTGTTTAGGACAGGATCTACAGGGTCTCACTACGTAGATCGGACTCTTAGTGATTCTCCTGTTTTCAACCTCTGAAGTGCTGGGATTACAGGTGCGCGCCACCACACCCAGTCTCAATCACTGTCTCAGCTTGCCCCGCAAGCGGCACTGGCTCAGCTTGCCCGGGGTTTGAACCTTGGACTCTGCCTAAGCAGTCGTTTTAGTCTGCTGAGCTATCAGGCTGGCCCTCTGTTCACTTTTTTAGATAAGTATTTCCATGTTTCCCAGCTGACCTTGAATTTATGACTATCTTTTTTTGCGGAACCAGGGATTGAACTCAGGCCCTTGCGCTTGCCAGGGAAGCGCTTATTCCACTGAGCCATCTCCCTGGCCTCTATAACTGTCTTTTATAAGCATCTTGAATCGATAGGATTATGTACATGTGCAGAAACAGAAGATGTGCATTTTTAAAATAGCTTTAGAATTTTCAAAGTATCCTTTCTTGGAAGATATATTTAAAAAGTGAGCCAGGACGTTGAAGCTAGAGAGGCATTTACTTTGGTGTATCTGGAAAAGAAGAGATTGTATAAGTGGGGTAGAATACTAATTTGACTGGTATATTTGTTGTCATTGGGTGAATCAGCTTAAGAGGAATAGACCTTAAATAATTTCATGATTTATTTTGAGGAGAACCATTGCTTTTTTTTTTTTTTTTTTTTGCGGAACTGGGGATTGAACTCAGGTCCTTGCGCTTGCCAGGGAAGCACTTACTCCACTGAGCCATCTCCCCGGCCCACCATTGCTTTTTAGTAATACTTTTGTAGGGGTAATATAATGAATAACTATTTACTAAAGCAACATTGTATTGTATTATGTTTCAAAGAAATTATTCATTTTAAGGAGGTGGTTTTGTGTTTATAAGTAGTGGGTATAGAGTTGTGCTGTGTTATTTTTACCTTTGCTTCTCAGCACTTCTCTCTTTTAAAAAAAGCTGATTGAAAATGAGGATGTCATGATTAATAACATTGTGACAGGAGCTAACGTTTTCTGTTACCTCCTGTTTCTGTACCGTATTTTCCCCAGTGTTGCATTATTTTCTTTCAGTACATTCATTGGCTTACAGTTTATACTTCTTTAATGGCGAATTAGCCCTGTACTGTTAAGTGTTTCTGTCTAGTAAATTATAGTAACTTTTTATAAATTTTAGAAATTGATACAAATGAGTTGGTTTTGGAAGATTTTCTTTTTTAGTACATTTAATTTAAGCCCAGTAGTCCTCCTTAGTATAACAACTTTTATAACTCTAAAAAATTACAGCTCAAGACAACATTGCTGTGAACAGTACAAACTGTAAGAAGCAAAGTGAAGATTATGAGTGTGTTTTAAAACCTGCAAAAGTCCTGAAAGAAGGAAGTGTTCTAGATGTTCTGAAAAGTGCTGGTAAGATAATGGCTACCCTTGAAATAATAAGTCTTAATTACAAGGTCAAGACCTCATTTTACTATTGTGTTATAATTTACCCTTATAAAATTTTTGACTAATTTCATAGGAGTTTGATTTTTTTTTTAATTTTTATTTATTTATTTATTTGTGTGTGTGTGTGTGTGTGTGTGTGTGTGTGGCCAGCTCAGCCCACCAGGGGGCGGGCCTGGCTGGCATGTGGTGCTGGGGGATTGAACCAGCGTCCCTGTGCTTTGCTAAGCTTGTTTTAAGTAGGTGCTTTAGACCACTGAGCCATCTCACCAGCCCCAGGAGTTTGATTTTTTAATATAAATGTCAAATCTAATTTATGGGTACTGTCTTAGAAACCTTTATTCATTCCTTTGGAAGTCAGGGACTCTGAACTAATCCTGAAATCTAAGAAGGAGCTATAGAAGAGGAAAGTGAATTGTCTCTACATGGAGACTGGCGCATATTCAAAAGATGAAATGACCTTGACAAAGCCCAGTCATGTGTCTCTGCTGAGCTCACTGAACTGCCTTCTTGTTTTTTCTGCATTTGATATATGATGAAATAAGGACAAGTTTGCTTATTTGTAACGTTTATGGGCAGGTATTTTTGTACTTGACAATTTTATGAGGTACAGTATTATAATTCAATACATGTATTTAAATGTTTAATGATAAAAGGAAGATAAAGTAGATAATTTGAAGGGGATGAATAGAAGTCCTGAAGAATAAAACTTTGGTTTGACAGCAGAGATAATCTCTGCAGTGTTGGAATGTGTAGTACAAGAAATATGTCACTGCCTATAATGTTACCTAATAACTTTGAAAAGGCTTAGATTTACCCAGCAGTTTGTGTGCATACATAATAGGATACATTTTCATCATGGTTGCCTGATTCCTTTTTCTTTCTTTCGTTCCTTTTTTTTAAAGGTTGTCTTCCACAATAAAATTTAGGATAAAGTTATTAGATCTATCTTTTTCTTATTTTTAAAATGGTGTATTCAGCCTCAGGAATGAAATAATTTGGGCAGTATTATACACTTATGGTAATTCCAGAAACCCTATTCTAGAATTAACCATGCAGCATGTGTGCAGTTTTATTGTATATACACATATTTAGTGAGGTAGGGCCATGCTTTGCATATATAATCCTATTTGCTTTTAACTTTCTTGTCATCCTGTGTATTGAACCTAGATGCTCTCTACAAGTGGGTTAAGTTAAATCCTCAATCCTTTTTTTTTTTTTTGTATTTTTTTTGTGTTTCTTAGGGAAGGGTCCACAGGGTGTTCAGGGTTTCACAACTAGATCGGACTCATAGTGACCCGCCTGTTTACCGCCTCCCAAGAGCTGAGATTACAGGTGCACGCCACCATACCCAGTCTCGATTGCTGTCTCAGCACACTTTGGGGGCGGGGTTGGCATGGCAGGTCCGAGGATCAAACCCCCAACCCCTGCACCTGCTTGCAGGTGCTTTAATCCACTGAGCTATTTGGCTGGTCCTCTTTTTGTTCTTTTTTGTTTTTTGAGACAGGGTCTTAGTATGCAGTCTAGGCTGGCCTTGATCTTATTTCTGGGACAAATACCTGACACTCAGAATGAAGGAAAAGTTTATTCAGCTCATAGGTACTGGAGTTTTTAGTCTGTACTCTACTGGCTGCAAGGCAGCACATGGCACATGGCAGAGAGCAACCTTTCATGGTGGTGACAAAGAGCAGGAGAGCAAAGGGATTGGCAGCAGCTGAGGCAGCTAGTTAGCCCCTCTCCCCTTCTTACATTGTAATGCAGATTTACCTACCCCAGGGTGGGTGCAGCATCCAAACCCACAGTAATCAATCACAAACTGTAGAAGCTGCCCTGTGACTGCATGAGGCTTTGGGGCAGACACCTGTACACAAACCATAACAGGTAGTCTAGGCTGGCCTCAAACACTCAGTGATCCTCCTGCTTATGTCTCCTGACTGCTGGGACTACGGGTGGTATCACCATGTCTTAACTGTTTTTATTCTTTCAAATGAGGTGCATAGGCTGAGGTGCAAGTTTGGATTCTCTTATTCTCTCAAGTAGCTGGGATTCTTGGTCTGTACTGCTGTACCTGATCAAATTAGGAAAAGGTGACAAAGTGGAAGGAAAAGAAATCTACAATGCCTGATTATTACCACTTTTAAAATTTTGCCAAATTTTATGTTGTTGACCACTGGGAGTAGATGTGGAATCTTTTTGTTCCTATCCTGAATTTAAGTTTAGACTAGGTTGCTTCTTGGTACCATTAGAAAACCTTTATCAACTTTCTGTACTTTTTCTTTTCCTTTAATACTTAAGCCTGGATAAATCGATCCCTGATAGTGTTGATGTATGTAAAAGGAGTTAGTTGGTTTCAGGTAAAGGATTAAAAAGTTACTTACATGAATAAAGTGTAGCTTCAGTGAACTCACCAAATGATAGCAGTTTGGGCAGCACAAATATTTCCCCTCATCCTGTGTTGGCTTGGTGGCAGTGTGCCTGTGACCAAGACTGCAAGTTTGAGTCCAGCCTGTGTTGCTTAGTAACATAGACTATATTAAAAAAAGAAAAAGGGTTTGGGATGCAGCTCAATGAGGCCATGGTTTTAAAAAAAAAAAAAAAAATCACCTTTTATAGCCATCCTATTGCCCATGAAATAAATGCATCTTCATTTTGTTACAAAGTAGATACACTTAAAATATGAAAGGCACTTGAGATTATGTTGGCTTACTCTTTGAGGCCCTTGTGTTTGAGTCACTGCTGGGGAACTTTGTATCAACATGCATTTGCATAGCTCCAGGAGGATAGACTGGGTCTTTTGATATTTCTGGGCCTTACAGAAGTTTTGGTACATCTTTGTTTGGACTTGTCATTGCAGGGGATGCAATTTTAAGGTTCATGTGAGTTTAGTGTAGTTAAAAACTATTTTTACCACGCTGTTGTACTTTGGAGAGCCATCTATTAATTATGCCTCTTCAGCGCAGCTTGTTTTACTGAAGTTAGAGGCTTCGATAACACTCTCATGTCTTGAAAACATTGAAAGATGATAAATATTGAAGTCATTTGGTACAGCCAACGCAATGCCGGAAAGAAGACATATGGAAGAAAGGCTTTGACTGTGTTAGAGGAAAGCACAGTATATAGTAAAGTGTGAATGACAGTAGTGTGTATCAGTAAGTAGATGAGAGCATTGAACTCTAAAGTCTGATTGGGAGAAGGTGATACATACATCTTTTGTAGAATTTTAACTTTGTCTTACTACAATTTTAATGATTGCATAGGTGAAAAACAACGTAGACGTTGTCCATCTTGATTGTATAACCCTGCAATAAGGTAAACGTTTTCTTTCAGTAGTTGCAGTTAATCCCTTGATTAGAAAACTCCTGTTATTCCCACCCTACCCCACCATAGGTTTCGCCTCACCAAAGGTAGATTCTGTTGCTGCTCAGCCTACTACCACAAGCTCTGAAGTTTATACAAGACCAGCAATAAGTGCTTTTTCTTCAAGTGGAGTTGGGTTGGGGGAAAGTTTAAAAGCTGGATCATCCTGGCAGTGTGATACATGTCTGCTCCAGAACAAAGTTACAGACAACAAGTGCATAGCCTGTCAAGCGACAAAATTAACACCAGGAGAAACTGCTAAACAGACTGGAACTGGGACACCAAGCAAAAGTGGCAAAGCACCTCTTTCTGCGTCAGGAACAGGCTTTGGAGACAAGTTTAAACCAGCAATAGGATCTTGGGATTGCGATACCTGTTTAGTACACAATAAACCTGAAGCAATGAAATGTGTGGCCTGTGAAACCCCAAAACCTGGAACTGGTGTGAAGCGACCCCTGACATTGACAGTGGTTTCAGAAAGTGCTGTAACTACAGCTGCTTCATCTTCTAACTGCACTGTTACCTCTGGTACCTTAGTATTTGGAGATAAATTCAAAAGGCCCGTGGGGTCTTGGGAATGTCCAGTATGCTGTGTTTCTAACAATGCCGAAGACAACAAATGTGTGGCCTGTATGTCTGAGAAACCAGGTACATTTACAGCTATTTGGAGTAGTTTTGCTCATTACTTAAGTAGAACATTATAATTTGTTCTGTAAGACAGCTAAAAATAGTTTTAGTATTTGTAGTGGTTCAGAATGAGTATTTTTTCATAATTTTATAAAACCATTTTGAGGTTAAATTGACTTGCTCATGGCTAGGTCTTATGTGTACTTAGGATAGGTTAACTGGTATGTTAACCAGCCTAGTGGATATTCTTTTATATCTAATGTATAATCTTTTACAGATTGATTAATGTAGGTACTAAAAGCTCTCAGGAGGACATAAGTCTTTCTCAGATCTTGATGTAGAATAAAATATTGTCATTTTTCTCTTATGTAAAATAAGTATAGGTGTCATTTACAGAGGAGAATTCTTTAAGGGATATAGTAATATTTTATGAAAATGTTGTAGCTAAATATTAATTGTGGTACCATAGCCATGTGCTTATCTGCAAGGTAGATTGCAGGGATAGGAAATAACTTAATCATTTATGAATTCTAACCTGGCTAGAAAAATGGAGACAGGTTTGAGTTTTTCCTGTTTGCTTGTTTAAAATTGGAAGAATTACTGAAGGACTTATATCAGTTTTTAATTCATTTTGTAAGTGACACTGGTTTTGTGTTTCTAATTTCTTCTCAACAATAATATTTATTCTGAAATATCCTCCCATTTGGCACTGCCTTCTCACTTAAAAAGAATACCCTCTACATGAGGAAATGAAATTCTAAATTATTAACACAATAGGTATTGAAGAGTATGGGCTTGGTCCTTTTAAGTGATGAATCATCATTTTCAGCAACAGAGTGATCAAATTTATTAGTCAGTCTGGTGGCTTTTTTGATTCTGAATTTTTTTTTTTTTTTTTTTTTTTTTGGTGGAACCGGGGATTGAATCTGGTGGCTTTTTTGAGAATGACACTGAAAACAACCGAGTTTGGAGGATAATTTAGGGAGTCCTGTGTGTAGTGTTGGTAGTAAATAATGATGTATACTAATGGAATCAAAAAGGTGGGAGAGGATGCAGAATTGTGTACAGCTGAAGATATGTGCATTTCAAGCTACTGAAGTTGATAGTCTCATAATACATGTGGCTTTTGGATAAACTAACATGGACCATGCACTCTCAGGGCTAGAGATACAACAGATATGGTGTCACATCACAGTTCTGGGAGCAGAGGTGAATTGAGTAAATAAAAACAGCTTAAAGCCAAACTCTGCAAATTTAAGAGACTGGAAGTAGTAAAATTTTAGAGTTAATCTTTTAAAATATTAACAGAATGGAGAAACAAAAAGTAGGTGGCACTAGTTGTCTCTTGACAAATAAGACCAGAAGTTTGAATAAGGTTACTATTCAAACAGGAGATGAGGGAGACTTGAGCCATAATTGCGGAAGGTTAGAAGAAAAGATTGAAATAAATTTGAGAAATGTTACAGGGAATGAGGAGGCAAACTAACCAAGTAGTTGCTGGAACAGACAGATGACAGTGACAGAGCTCAGAGAAGGTAGGTTGCAGGTACAGGTTAGGACTCTTTTAATCAGAGCTTGTGAGGACAGTGGACCAGAGACAGCATCAGGGAGCAGTTTTGTTAGCTAGATACAGGAGCATCTGTAAATTACTGAGGTGGTTCAGGTAAATGGGGAGAAATGACTGTAGTTGAGTATGACTTAGAGAAATATGGATGCAGAACAACTGGCTCCATCTCCACACATGTCCTTAATTTGTGTTCTGAGCTGCTTTTGGCCAGCTTATAAACATGCTGGCTCTGCTTCAAGATTTGTTTTGTTTGTTTATTTTTATGTATTTGGTAAAGGGTCTCACTATGCTGCTTGGACTTGTAATGATCTTCCTGTTTTCAGCCTCCCCAGCACTGGGATTATAGATGCCCGGTTTTAGTGGCCAGCACAGCATGCCTGGGGGCAGAGCCAGTGAGGCACATGGTGCAGACTGCTTCAAGATTTAATTATCACCTCTGAATATTCCTCATGTCTGTCATTTCTTCCTTTACACATTTGTTTTAGATCATTCATCAGTTGGTGATGATATGTTTGTGTTTTGATTTTCCCTTTCAGACCATGAGCACCTTAAAAGTTAAAACTTTTAACAAATTCATCTCTATGTCCCCCAAACTCAACTATACTACAGTGTTTAAAGTTTGTTAAATGGCTAGTATATAACAGTCCAGTTGTGAACATAGTAGGCACAGGGTTTCATTGTGAAATGTATGATAGAATGCTTCTATACGAAAAGGAAATATGCTTTGAAATCTTGAAATTAATATGGAATATGGCTATGCTTTTATGTTAGGATAGTGCCCGCAGTTTATATTTGTAGCATACTGAGCTGTTTAAAGAAGTTTTGGATTCTTTAGGACAGTTTAGTCTTTTAGCTCCTTATATATTTGAGCATTTTTTTAAACCACAGCAGTTTCAATTTGAGAGTAAGAGGGAGCTCACTCACCACTGGGCAAAGTTTGCTTTGCATTTATAAGATTAACAGAAATCTGAGAGGTTTATCTTGTTTTTCACAATGTAATGCTTACATTGCTGGCATTTTATGTGTCTTAATTAGAAGCTGTCAGAATTGAACACTTAAACTTAGTAGTGACATTAAGATACTGACATAATGAAAATTAAAGTTTTAAATGATTTTCCCTATGATCTTTTAGGAGGCTCAGTCCTTGCTTCTAGTGGCAGCCCTGTACCTGTCTCTGTGTCTTCTGGGAACTTTCTAGGATTGGACAAGTTCAAAAAGCCTGAGGGAAGCTGGGACTGTGAAGTGTGCCTAGTACAGAATAAAGCTGACTCTGCCAAATGTGTAGCATGTGAAAGTGCAAAGCCAGGCACAAAATCTGAGTTTAAGGGTAAGTTGATGGTAAAATAACTATTTATAATGTCCTTTTAAAGTGAAATATTTGTGAAGAGCATTAGGTTTTTCGTTACGCATTCTCTCTTGTTAATGTGTATAAAATGAGATAATTGTTCCAAATTCCTGTAGTTCATGTGTATCTGATTATTAAGATACAAACCTGGGTGTCACCAGCAAGGTACCTTTTTTGCATCTGAGTGGAGAACTCTGCTCTAGAGTTGAGGCTTTTAGGTTGTTTTGTTTTTAAATGCTAACCCCCGTATGAATATCTTGACTTGATTCTTATTTAAAGTAATCTAGCTTGGGCTTTGGTTTCCCAGAGTCCAATTCCAGAAAGAGAAGTCTTTAATACCTCTCAAAGTAATTAATGCTGAGCTATCTGGAAGCCAAAATTTGACTATAAACCAAACGTTTTATATTTTTAGTTAGTATGATTGACGTAAAAGCTTTGCAAAATAATACTTATGGTCTGTATGAAATGCCCTAGTGTTTTCCATTTCATTTTAATTTTTTAAAATTTTATTTATTTATTTGTGTGTGTGTGTGTGTGTGTGTGTGTGTGTGTGTAGGGGGGCAGCTCAGCCCACCAGAGGGCCGGTTGGCTGGCATGTGGTGCTGGGGGATTGAACCACAGTCCCTGTGCTTTGCTAAGCTTGTTTTAAGTAGGTGCTTTAGACCACTGAGCCATCTCACCAGCCCCTCCATTTCATTTTAAAAGGAAAATGATTGCAACCTACTTAATTTGTTGGATGACTTAATGGGATATAACTGGCATTTGAAAATTGCTGCTGTCTGGTTGTAGTGGAAGATCCTTGTACTCCTGTCCATTTCCATTCACTCTGTAGCTGTTGTCTTACTGCTGTCCTTGCCATGTTCTCTACCTGTGGTGTAGAAACCACCATGCTCTAAAAGTTTACCATCCTTTGAGGCGGTACTAATTACAGGTTAACTCTTACCTTTGGCACTTTTATTTTTTAGCATTCCAACTAGAATCATTCAGGATATTTTAGAAATCCTATATAGCCACTTGCTCCTCAGGTTCTAGTGTAGGTGTTCATCTTAATTTTTCTTTAGGGAAAGGTAGGGTGGGTGAGTAATCATTGATGGGGGAAATTCATGGTAGGTTTATATACAAAGCTCAACTGCTATGTCTTGTGTGTTAGCAGAGTACTGTCTGAATATCTTAATTCATTTTAATGGATTTTGTATTGAGCCAATGAAACCAAAATTTTAATCTTGTCAATATGTTGTCTTTATACATATAGCTTCAAAGATACTTTATAAATATAATTTTCTTTCTTTTTTTTTTTTTTGATGCTGTTTAAGTGCTTGAGTAAATAATACAAATTAAAAAAAAACAAGAAATGATGGCAAAAGTTTGTAGTGAGACTTCCATCTCATGTCTCCCCACTGGCTCATTTTACAGTTTTTTAATCCCCTCCAAAAGGAATAGCCATGGCTAATTCCTTATAAGTCTTCCAATGTTTCTCTATACCCTTCCTAAGCAAACATATTCTGTGTCTTCTGATTTTGTACTTTGTTAGAAACGTGTATATCACACTCCCTTTCAGCCTAGATTATGACATTTTATATGTCTAATTTTATCCTTAAAGTCTCAGTTATAGAATTGCTGTGTCTACGATTGTGTTTTTAAATATTGACAAATTGCTCCTGACATATTTTGCGCTAATTTATATATCCATCTACAATATATGAAAGTGCTTACTCCTATTATCGATACAAAATTTATCACACTTTGTTAGCCAGTGTAATAGGAATGGTGTTTTGTGCAGTTTTAAAGGTTGAGATGTAAATCTTGTAGTGAATATTGGCCAACGTGGTTCGTATTTATTGCTGTTGATAGTATTTTTCAGAGTTCCTATTTCACTTTGGCTTTCAAAGATAAGCATTTTGTCAAGAGCATAAACACATTAAATTACTGACTTTGTGTGGTATCTTGTATCATTTTGAAGGTTTTGGCACATCTTCCTCATCTTCAAATCTACCAGCCTCATCCTTCAAATTTGGTATTCCACCATCATCGTCATCTGGACCTTCTCAGACTTTATCAAACCCTGGAACTTTTAAATTTGGAGATCAGGGAGGATTCAAAATAGGCCTGTCATCTGACTCTGGGTCTGTAAGCCCCATGAATGAAGGCTTTAAGTTTTCTAAAGCAACTAACTCCAATTTTAAATTTGGAGTTTCATCTGATTCTCAAACTGAAGAAATTAAAAAAGAGAGTAAGAATGATAATAGTCTTAAATTTGGACTTTCTTCTGGTTTAAGCAACCCAACTTCATCAGCTCCATTTCAGTTTGGTATGTCTAATCCTGGACATCAAGAAAAGAAAGAGGAACCACCTAAATCTTCATCTACAGGCTTTAGCTTTGGTTCTGGCGTTATTAACCCTATTCCTGCTGCTACTGATACCATAGTGACCTCTGAGAACAAAACCAAGTTTAGCTTTGGAACCATAGAAACCAAGAGTGTTTCAGTGGTTCCTTTTGCATGCAAGACAACAGAAGCAAAAAAAGAAGAAATACCAGCTACCAAGGGAGGGTTCACTTTTGGCAATATGGAAACTGCCCCTCTGTCATCTGCCTCAGTGTTTGTTTTAGAAAGAACAGAAGAAAAGCAGAAAGAGCCTGTTACTTCTACATCTCTGGTTTTTGGAAAGAAAGCTGGCAGTGAAGAGACAAAATGCCCACAAGTATTTTCCTTTGGGAATTCAGAGCAAACCAAAGATGAGAGTTCTTCAAAGGCAGTGTTTAGTTTCAATATGGCAAAACCATCTGAGAAGGAGTCTGAGCAGCCAGCAAAGGCCACTTTCACTTTTGGAGCTCAAACCAATACTACACCTGGTAAATATTAAGATTTTATTATGTGGTGCCTTTGATACCTCAGCCAGCACAGGAAGTCAAAGAATGGTTTATGTGGGATATAGAACTCTTGGAGAAGTAGCCCAGAATTTTGTCTTCTCTTAATCCCTCTGATTCTGACGAAATTACCTCCAGAACTAACGTTCAGAAGCAATAACTTTAACAGAAAGTTCCTAATAGTGCTCATTTATATATGCACTTGTTCCTTCTACTTCGGCTTTCTCTTTGGGCTTTTTGTAATCAGAATTGGTGCATAACACTTTGCTGTATGGGAATGCTAGCTTTGGCAGCATATATACTAAAATTGTGCTATCTGCAAAAATAGGGATTCATAAATACAGAATAATTGACTTAACAGATTTTTTTTTTTAAAATGAATTTAGGACAGGGTCTACAAGGTATACAGGATCTCACTATATAGATTGGACTTGTAGTGATCCTTCTGTTTTCAGCCTCACAAGTACTGGGATTATAGGTGCGCGCCACCATGCCCAGTCTCACATCACCACCTCAGCATACCCCAGGGGTCAGAGCCGGCACAGCACCTGGGCATTGAATCCCGGCTGCTGCACTCTGCCGAAGCAGGAGCTTTTAGTCTGCTGAGCTATCTGGCCAACCATAGCATTTTTATGTAAATGCTTTCATTTGCAAATAATTACAGATACCCAGCTATAGAACAGTTAAGGAACATAGACAACAAATACAATTAAGCCCTGAGAAAACAGTAGTAATTTTGAAAACTAAAACCCTGAAGGAAAAATCAAACAATATTCTTAAGTTAAAGCCTGGCTGTTGAAATAAAAGCTTTTCTCTGTGCTGAGTATTGAGAAACAACATAGCTGATAATCACATTAGTAAAATGGAATTTCTCAGAACACAGTGCAGAAATTAGAGATACTGATAAAAGCTAGACCTACAAGTTCCACTGAAATAACAGTTTCTTAAAGAAATTTTTATAGCAGAAATATTTTAAACCCAAGGAAATTTTTTGTGTAGACTCTCTTGTATAAAGTGGAAATGACCCACTAGTTGACACAGTTCAGTTCTTAAATGAGTATCTGATTAGCTTGACAAAGCTAAGCTGGTTCTGAAATGTACATGGAAGGAAAAACACCTGAGAAAAGGTAGAGGAGAAGGGCAAGGACATAAACAAATTTGTTCTATTAATATCAAGCCCTAAACTACAAGGTTAATTAAAATAGTCTGAAAACAGAAAAGAAATATATGTATGTTAGGAAAGTTAGTATGTCAAAAAGATGGGACTGCATATTACTAACAAAGGATACATTAGTGTGAGGGAAAAATTTGCTACCTATTTGTTTAAATTCAAGTTGTGATTCTATTCTGCTACATTTACTGCAGCATAAATTACAAATTCATACAATAGCTATCTTCCACTATCTGAATTTGTTATCCACACAAACATAGTATCAAGTTAGATTTTGATATGAGGGATAATTTTTAGAAGTCTGAATGCTCATGGCTACCATTTGAAAGAAAACTCACAGGCCATAGAAGAAGAGATGATTAATTTTGGCTGTATCAGATTGTATTAAGAGGTACTCATTTGATGACTAATTTTACACCAAAGCTTAACATTCTGTTTTCTAAAGTTCTAGATTCATACTTAATGATTTATGTTTCTTCATTTTGTCTTTTACAGATCAAGGTACAGCAAAGCCAGTTTTTAATTTCTTGAACAGTTCCTCTAGTTCAAGTACACCAGCCACTTCAGCCAGTGGTGGGATTTTTGGTAGTTCCACTTCCTCTTCCAATCCGTCTGTGGCTGCCTTTGTATTTGGACAGGCCAGCAATCCTGTAAGCAGCTCTGCCTTTGGTAACTCTGCTGAATCCAGTACATCTCAACCCTTGCTATTTTCTCAAGATAG